TGTTGTTTTAAAAAAAGAAAGTGAGTAGAGAAAAATACTGTTAACTGATAGTACATGGGGGGGGGGAGGATTATAATCATTGTAATGAAACAAGGTGTATGATTTGTTGAATGTGAAACTGATGATCTGCCCTGTAAACTTTCACTCAATAGAAACCTTAAAAAAAAGAAGAAGAAAAAACAAAAACCTGGCTACTTTCTAGATGATCCCATAGCCAACCTACAGTAATACTGTATGTACTCTACCAAAACAATATCCACAAGAAATCAGTATTGATATTTTTTAGAAAGCACTCTTACTTGGGGGCTTTTCTTAATAGTCTATTTCCCCAGTAATTATCATTTAGCTGGAACACATTAAATGTGCAATAATGTAACGGGAGAGAAAAAGTTATTTTTCAACATAATAACAGCTTTATATAACCTGGAGAATGATTAAGGCATTCTTGAATTTCTCTAGTAAAATCTCCTTTCATGAGGAAAGCTGAAATGCAAACCCACTTACCGGAGTGCTTTTACTCCCAGGGCCACATGCAATACAAGCCTCCTTTCCATAGACCTGATGTATGGATAGGTAAGTGTCAGGTGGACACTCCTTGCACTGGTTGCTTTCTTTCTCAATGTAGTGGCCTGGGGGGCAGGGGACACATGATGAGCCTGACTGTTCAGAACCGAGAGCACAAGCACGGCATGAGGACGCCACCCCATCCACTGCATTAGTGGTTGTGACAGAATAAATCTTCACCATGTCGTTGATGAACCGTCTATTCTAAAAAGAGAGCAAGAAAAAAAAAAGAGAGAGAGAGCAGAAAGTAATGACTTCTGCCGTGAGGTTTAGCTGCATAGCTAGACTTTTTTTTAACATGCAAACACCACGAAAATAACTAAGCAGAGCACTCCAACCTAACAGTTTGCAACTGACAATGAATTCGTAACATTCCTATTAATTTGTTGTAAAAAGAACCTTAAATCTTGACACTAGAAGCTAATTTCCACAGTAATGGTGTACCAGGCATTTTGCCATGAATCACAATTATCGTGATATATGTCATAATTGATATGATTTTTGTTTTAAGGGTCTGCGAGTCAGTTCCAACTCATAGCAACCCTATATAGGTTTTCCGAGGAGCGGCTGGTAGGTTTGAACCACAGAATTTATGGTTATCAGTCTGGTGGTTATCCTATAGCACCACACCAGAACTCCAAAACTGATATGGACTCGGGCATATCAACAGCCTATGTCTATATAAATAGGTATGTTTAATAGAGGAGCAACTTTAGTTCCCATCATTGTTTATACAGATATAAGCCTAAATCTAATAATCCAATAGGAGACCAACAATGTGACAGGGTAGAACAAGCTTTGGACTAGAGATTACAAAGTCTTGGAAGACTCAGACTCTACTTTTCTAATAAACACTAACTATGTAATATCAATTCACGCAAACCACTTTTCTGGGCTTTCCTTTATCTTTACAGCACTATCCATGTCCAACATACTCTGATTCCTACTGAAAGGATACTGGATTGAAAATAAGTACTTGGGTCTTATACGTTTCCTTCTTGTGACTTAGTCAATTAAATATTTGATTTTCAAGAAACTATGGGCATCACTCTATTCTAAATCGCACAGAGCAGTTACCACATACTACGTAAAGCTTTTTGCTGTCTGGGGCTAATGCGACAGGAAGGCAAGGGTAAAAAATAGGGTCCCACAGCATGTTCATGACCCACATGATGTAATCTGAACACTCCAAAAGAACAATTGGAATCAAGTAAAATATAGGGAGATTATTCTCCAGTAAGAGCCTAAAGACAAAAGAGAAAATGTTCTATATTTCCCACAACAGTGTTAAGGCTATGGCTGAACAAATGGCTTACCTAGTTCTCATCTTGGAGGCCAATTTTATGGAGATCTACCAACAGCTGTGCTCTGGTAGCGTAGTGGTTACGAGTAGGGCTGCCAACATCAAGGTTAGCAGTTTGAAACTACCAGAGGCTCCATGGGAGAAAGATGAGGCATTCTGCTCCCGTAAAGATTTACAGCCTCGGAAACCCTGTGCAGGGTCGCTATGAGTCGGAACCGACTCCACGGTCCTCAACAACAACAAAACCAATAGCTGTGCCAGAAAAACAACAGTCTTGCTATTATTAAAATTACAGTGGAATTTGTTTAGGGGAAGACTGAGGTCTATTCTAACAGGGTATATAAAGTAGAATAAGAATTTGTATGTTAATATAGTTGTGTGTACACATGTTCTCTGGACTGTAAAAAGGGGACATTATGCTAATGAAATAATAAAACCACATCAGTTAATGGCTTCTAAATAAATGTAAGATCATTCAGATGAAGATGAAGAGAGCTGCTAGCTTTTACAAAGTCATAGGAAACTGAAAATAAATTTTTAAATAATTGCAAAATTAGATCTTTTTTCTTATGCTTCAAACAGCTACATTTGTTTAGTATTCAGAACAATTCAAAGCTACATTGTGACATTGTATTATTCCATTCCATGCATTCTGACCCTCAAAATAATGATTAGCATTCCATTCTATAACCAAGTGATTGCTTTTACATAAATAAAAAGCCCAGTTTTTTCCACCAGTAGATTTAAGTGCTCTCTGCATATCCATCAAGGGGCTTTCAAACAGTGCTTACAACTTACATCTTGACCTTGGTTAGTTCTCTGGAATGCCCATGTAAATGTAAATGTTGCATTCTTAAAGATGATATGGGTGTAAGCTTGTTTTTCTTTGGTTCCACCCCATGATTCCACCACATTGGTACTTTTTCTATTAATATCCTGTAACACAGTGAAAAAATATATAGACAAAGTACAAACTATTAACATAAATATGCTTTTATTTACCTAGTAAATGCTGTAGAATATTTATCTGCAGAACATGGAACTCTAGAACTCCTGCAAGTTCCCTTCAAACCTGCACAAGCACTTAATTCACTTAGAATTCACAATATACACTTAACTTGATATCTTAAAAAAAAAAAAATTTTTGAGAGTAGACCAAATCATACCAAAGAGGAAAGAAAAATTAGCAAATTCTGTTCTGAGCTAAAAACTCTGGGACTGATTTACAAAGTAAATAAAATCTTATTTCTACCCTCAGGAGAGAGACAAAAGCATAACTTCTCATAATTAAAAAATATTTTCTCCAAGGCTTTAGGAGCACATAGGAAAGTGTGTTAACTTTACTTAAAGGAATAAAAGAACATCTCCTTGTGAACTCTCACAAAATTCACAATAAAACATTAAAAAAAAAAAAAAAAAAGAACATCTCCCAAGAGAGATAAAACTTAAAGCTATCTTTTATGTATAACAGGGAGCTTACCAGACAAAAGAGCATAAAGAAAAATGCTATATTACCTCAGAGTGTCAATGCATGCAAATTTTAAAATGTACATGATTTTTCACTAATATTATGGCACTGCAGGATAAGCACTGGACTGCTAACTGAAAAGTCTGTGGTTCAAACCCACCAGTTGCTCCTCGGAAATCCTATACAGGATCCGTAGGAGTCTGAACTGACTCAACGGCACTTAACAACAACAACAAAAGGGGAGGATAGGGAGTAAGTTTGGCAACAAAGGTTGGAGGCCATGCTAAGGAATTTGAAGTCTATTCTATAGGTGGTTGTGGTTGATAAGTGTCATCAAGTCAGTTTTTACTCATAGCGACTCTGTGTGAGGTTTCAAAGGAGCTGCTGGTGGGTTTGAAGCACAGACCTTGCAGTTAGCAGTCCAGTGCTTATCCTACAGTATCATGCCATACTTCTAGTCTATAAGTTAGTAGTTCTCAAACTTCAGTGTGCATTAGAATGAATCTCAATGGTTTGCTAAAATATAGATTACTGGGTCCCTTCCCAGAGTTTCTGATTAAAAAAGTCTAGAGCGGGGTCTGGAAATGAGTATTTCTATTAATTCCCAGGTAGCGCTGGTCCTGGAATCACACTTGAAAAATCACTGCTAAAGGGAAGGAAGAGAAACCAACACTAAGGGTAAAGGGTAAATTTGATGTTGATGCCACTGCTATTGCTTTGTTTGGATAACTATATGAATTGGGATAATTCTGACAGCAACATATATAAGAGAGTGGAGATGAGAAAATTAACTAGGAAATGAAGGAATAATCAACATGAGAGATAGGAAATTAAAACCAGTTAGTATGGGCTAGATTCCAACTCCTAGCAACCCTACAGGAGAGAGTAAAACTGTCCCCACTGGGTTTCCAAGGCTGGAAAGCTTTATGGCGGTAGACTACCACATCTGTATCTTACAGATCTACTTGTGAAGTCAAATCACCAACTTTTCAGTTAGCAGCTGGGCATCTGCCCACCGTACCACCCAGGCTCCTTTGCAAGGTACAAAGGTGCACATGTGACCAATGACACTGAGTGTGAACAGGAACTAACAGACTAAAGAAATAAGGTGGCAGAGTTGGGAGAACTGAAGACTTACTGTTTATTTGTAGCACAACACAAGAAGGTGTTGAAAATTACTTGTGATTTTTTTTCTGCTACAAAGTTAGTGTTTTATCAGAACTAATCTACTTTCATACAAACTCTCAGTAGTCATAAATGAATGTTTAATAAATCTCCACACATTTTCTATCTTATGAGGGAAACTGTTAAGGACTGCAAGCGAACTACTAAAGGATCATTAGGGAAAGAAAAACACACACACAAAAATGATGTCTGAGTATGTATTAGTATCTTAGCCAACAACCTACTAATGTACATATAAGGTCTTAGAAAATTTTGTATAGCTACTTTTCTCAAGCTGCTATTTGAGATTTATATGACATCTAGTAAGCAAAGTGAATGAGTGAGGTTTTGCTGTGTGACTTGGTAAATTCCTTTGTCTGAATGTATTCAATTTAACAAGAAAAGTTTTCTTTCTTCCCAATCTCCTTTATTTTTTTCCTCCATTTATTAAGACACCTTTGCCCTCCTGATAATTTGAGTTTCTAAGTGGCTACTGGGGAGCATTTTCATTCTTCTGGTGACTTATTTTTCTGAAGAATTTTCTACCAGATTAATAATCCTTGCCTCTGTCAGTCACCTGGTCCCCTCTTTCAGTCCTGCCCTTGAAATCTGGGTATACCTACTAGAGTTTCTTTCTTACTGATCAATTTTAGTGAGTTCTTTAGACCTTTTTAAATGTTTTTGGAAGGCCCCAACAATGGCAAGAAAAATAAGATTCTTATCCCAACTTGCCTTGCTAAATAAGTTCGCAACTGGAGAGAATGCTAAATTTAAAGCACCTGCCTTCCAAAGCTACTCCTCCACTTACCACCATGAAGTACAAAACACAGTCAGCTGAGCAGAGGGTCTCAAAGACAAAGGTTATTCTTCCTAGTTCAGAACCTGTGGCTCCAGTCATAGATGTTGGTGGTCTATTTGGCAGAGTAGAACAGCAATATTTACAGTATGTTCTAAATCAAATTGGAGCACATTGACCTAGTTTTTTCATTAAGCAAAAGTCACACTCCTGTCTTCCCCTGATCTCTTCCCCCACCCACATCTCCTTCCTTAATCATGTCCATTGCAAAGCAAAAAAGGCAAGAGCGAGAGAGAGATTAAATGTTATTGGGAAACTTTAAAATTTGGAAAACTAAAGCAAAAGCATATTAAAGAATTTATAACGTATTAGTTTATTGTAACACTAAGAAAAAGAAATAAACCAAAAGAAGCTCCACTTGGACTATGATTTCTCTTGATTAAGCATCCAAGAATCATGGTTATTGTATCACATAGATGTAATATTATTAAAATTGTTCAGTGTCATTTAAGTAATACAGAAAAAAGCATTTCAATCCCTGATTCTACGGTTATTGTTAAATAAAATACATTACCCTATGACCATTTATTTGGTGTGTTCTTTATGATATTAACATATTTTATAAAGGCAATCCTATTTCAATTGCTTTTATGGGAAACAGTTGTAAGGATTCTTACAGATGATAATCAGAATTAGTTTCCTTACTTAAATCCTGGGATATGCAAGTTTAAGATCAGGTAATCATTATCTGAGCCTCCAGCCCCACTCTGGATATGATCTCCAGCCACCTCCCAACCTGGAAGTGATAAAAGTGATTTTTATTAATAAAAATCCCCTTAATATTTTTCAACAATTTTTTCAAATAAGGTAAAAAAGAATTACCAGTATTTATATTTAATGTTAAAATTATCCCAAAAAGAATTCCATTTTTAAGTTTCAGTTGCTTTGCCTACAGAGCTAGATTTCATGATACCAATAAAGATGTTCTGTATGATTTTCCAGGAAGAATCAAGTAATACATTATTTTTGCATGTTGATAAGTGTTGTCAAGTCATTTCTGACTCACAATGACCCTGTATATAGGGTTTCTGAGGAGTGGCTGGTTAAGTTTGAACTGGCGACTTTTCAGTTAAGCAGTCCAATGCTTATCCTACAGCACTACACCAGGATTCTTATTTGGCATAAAGGTTATCTAATCAGAGAACTAATACTGAAGCATAAGTTGTTGTTGTTTTTTAAAAAACTAAAACAGGTAGTCTTTACTCATTACTCTACATTGAGATGGAAAATTCTATTCTTCAAAGAAAGAAAAACTTCCAGATACCTACTATAGGATCCTGAGATGTTTCTTACAGTTTGCTCTAGCTTAGTCTATGCTCATGCATTCATTTTCTTGTTTTTAGACTAGAGGGGATGCCTGAGCAAATGGACACCCCACTCCCAGGGTTCTACTACATGCGCACAGATCTCCACAAAATTTAAAGTGACAGTCTCCACTTTAAATCAAACAGTCACCAATCAATCGTCTGTCAGTTTGTTGTATTGTGGTGCTTGTGAGTTGCTGTGATTCTGAAAGATATGCCACTGGTGTTTTAAATACCAGCAGAGACACCCATGGTGGACACGTTTCAGATGAGTTTCCAGATGAAGATTGACTAGGAAGAAAGAGTGATGAACTGCTTCCAAATATTTAGCCACTGAAAACCTTATGAATAGCAGAGAAACACTGTCAGATATAGTGCCGGAAAACGAGTCTCTCAGGTTGGAAGGCACTCAAAAAGCGCCTGGGGAAGAGCTGCCTCCTTAAAGTAGACTTGACCATGTTGACACAAATGGAGCCCAGGAAAAAGCCCATGTGAACCTTCATTTGCTGATGGGGCACAACTCAAAATGAAGAGAAACATCTGTAAACATCCATTGAAAATCACAACATGGAATGTACAAAGTATGAATCTGGGAAAATTGGAAGTTGTCAAAAATGAAATGGAACACATAAACATCAATATCTTAGGCATTAGTGAGCTGAAATGGACTGGTATTGGCCATTTTGAATCTGATGATCACATGGTTTACTATGCTGGAAACGACAGATTGAAGGGGAATGGTGTTGCATTCAATATCAAAAAGAACATAACCAGACCAGTCATGAAGTACAACATTTTCTGTGATAGGATAATAACCATGCACCTACAGGGAAGACCAGTTAATACCACTATTACTCAAATTTACACATCAACTACTAAAGCCAGTGAGGATGAAATAGAAGAATTCTGCCAACTTCTTCAATCTGAAATCGATCAAACATGTAATTGAGATGTATTGATCATTACTGGTGATTGGAATGCAAAGGCTGGGAGCAAAGAGAAAGGATCAGGAGTTGGAAAATATGGCCTTCGTGATAGAAACAATGGTGGAGAACACATGATAGAATTCTGCAAAACCAAATGATTTGTTCATTTCAAATACCTTCTTTAGACAGCATAAGTGACAATTATACACATGGACTTCACCAGATGGAATACATAGAAATCAAATTGACTACATCTGCAAAAAGAGACATTGGAAAAGCTCCATATCATCAGTGAAAACAAAACCAGGGGCACACTATGGAACAGACCATCAATTACTCATAGGCAAATTCAAACTGAAGCTGAAGAAAGTGAAAACAAGTCCATGAGAGCCAAAATATGACCTTGAATATACCCCACCTGAATTTAGAGATCATCCGAAGAACAGATTTGATACATTAAACACTAAAGACCAAAGGCCAGAAGAGTTGTTGGATGACATCAAGAACATCATACAGGAAGAAAGCAAAAGGTCACTGAGAAGACAAGAAAGAAGGAAAAGGTCAAAATGGATATCAGAAGAGACACTGAAACTTGCTCTCCAGTGTAGGGATGCTAAAGCAAATGGAAGACATGAGGAGGTACAAGAGCTGAAAAGAAAATTTCAAAGATCAGCTTGAGAAGATAAAGCCAAATATTACAACAAAATGTGCAAAGATCTAGAATCAGAAAACTAAAAAGGAAGAACACACTCAGCATTTCTCAAGCTGGGGGAACTGAAGAAAAAATTCAAGGCTCAACTTTCGTTATTGAAAGATTCTCTGGACAAATTATTGAATGATGCAGAAAGCATCAAGAGAAGATGGAAGGAATACATAGAGTCACTGTACCAAAAGGAAATGGTTAATGTTCAACCATTTCAAGAGGTAGCATAGGATCAAAAGCCAATAATATTGAAAGGGTGTTAGATCTGTGTACAAGTTATGTGAGGTCTGTTCTCTGCACAGAAATTAAAGGCTAAAAACAGCCACAGTAAAATGAAAGATGCATTCTCCCATACCCTGTTAAGTAAGGTTACTCATTAACAGCAATGCATTAGCATTTATACTTCTGTCTTCAAAAGAATATGCTAACATCTGGACTTTAATGAAATGTGAGACAGAAAGTTTGGAAGAGATTATTCTGAGTGCTAGATTGGCAATTTAGCGACACGTGATATGCTGTGATCAACAGTTCATAGACAGGTGATGTGTTGAATATACATAAATCAAGCCAGTCTAAAAAGAATAGGTACTAATCTACTTGATTATGAGAAAAAAAAACAACTGTTCATCTGTCTAAATGCTTATGTAGTTATAAAGAGACATAAACAAGTATCAACTCTGAATACTAAGTATTAGCAGCTATAATCCAGTGGGAAAACAAGCCCTTGACTGCAGGGAAAGTAATGGAAGAAGAATTTAGCAACAGAGAAAGACTGCAAGCTTGTGGTGGGGTGAGGAGAAAAGGAATTCTGTACCAAGAAAGGGGGAACTTTTTAAAGTTTTCTCTAAGAATACCTGCCTACTGTTCGGAGATGCCATTGTGCTGCCTTCTGAGCTTTGTTTTTAGATGATGTAGAGTAGATTCCAACTCATAGCAACCTTACACACAACAGAATGAGACAACACAAATTTGTTACAGTTGAACCTATTGCTTCTGACACTGTGCCAATCCAAAAGAGGGTATTCCTCTTTTTCGCTAATACTCTACTTTGCCAAGCATGATGTTTTTCTCTACGGACTTCCTGATAATATGTCCAAAGCATAAGAGATGAAGTCTCACCATCCTGCCTTCTAAGGAGCATTCTGGCTACACTTCTTCCAAAACATGTATTTGTTTGTTCTTCTGGCAGTCCATGGTACTTTTAATATTCTTCTCTTAACACCATAATTCAAATGTTTTATCCCTTGGCAAATACTACCCCTTTGATTGAATATGGAGTAGCAGGAAAGGCCAAAGAGAAAAAAACTAACAAACAAAAAACAGTAGATGGATAGTAAAGGGATAAGTTTGGAGGGATAAGTTTCTTCTTCAAGAGGAAACAAACATTTCTCATGTTGAACACTGCCCATAATGTTCAAACACATGTTAACATGTTAAGTGATTATTTTCAATATCTTTCAAAACATATTATCACTGAGACTTATTACAGAATCCTGATTTTATTCAGTGGTTAGGCTGGATAACCAAAAAGGTCAGCAGTCTGAACCCACCAGCTGCTCTTTGGGAGGATGATGTAATAATCTGCTTCCATACAGATTACAACTTTGGAAACCCTAAGGGGCAGTTCTACTGTGTCTTGTAGGGTCACTACAAGTTGGAATTAACTTCACAGCAATGGGTTTGGGAGAGCATATTGTACTCTATATCAGAGTTCAATAAATTGTCAGGATGTTTTATTTATAAAAACCTTGTTGTTGTTGTTGTTGTTAGGTACCATTGAGTCAGTTCTGACCCATAGCAACCCTATGTACAACAGAACAAAACACTATCTGGTCCTATAATATCCTCACAATTGCTGCTATGTTTGAGCCCACTGTGGCTGCCACTGTGCTAATCCATCTCATTGTGGATCTTGCTCATTTTCACAGACCCTTCACTTTACCAAGCATGATGTCCTTCTCCAGGGACTGGTCCCTCCTGATATTATGTCCAAAGTATGAGAGACAAAGTCTGGTGATCTTGACTTCAAAGAAGCATTTGGTTGTACTTCTTCCAACACAGATTTGTTTTTCTTCTAATAGTCCAAAGTATCTTCAATACTCTTCTCCAATACTTTAACTCAAATGCATCAAATCTTCTGTGCCTTCCTTATTCATTGCCTAACTTTCACAGGCATATGAGGCTACTGAAAATACCATAGCTTGGGTCAAGTGGACTTTAGTCCTCAAACTGGCATCTACACTTTAGAACACTTTAAAGAGGTCTTGTGCAGCAGATTTGCCTAATTTGATTTCTTGATTGCTGCTTCCATGAGTGTTGATGGTGGATCCAAGCAAAAAGAAGTCTTTAACAACTTTCTTTTCTCCATTTATCATGATGTTATTTATTGGTCCAGTTGTGAGGAATTTTGTTTTCTTTACATTGAGGCAGTCATTCAAACAGAACAAAAAGGACACTGAATGGTTTAGGCTGGATTCAGAAGAGGCCGTGGAACGAGAGATATCATTGCTGATGTCCGATGGATCTTGGCTGAAAGCAGAGAATATCAGAAGGATGTTT